ATTGAGGGGAGTATAGGCTGATGTGCAGTAGATATTGAGGGGTAATAGACGTTGAGGGGTAATAGAGATTGAGGGGTAATAGAGATTGAGGGGTAATAGAGATTGAGGGGAGTATAGGCTGATGTGCAGTAGATGTTGAGGGTAACAGATATTGAGGGGTAATAGATATTGAGGGGTAATAGATATTGAGGGGTAATAGATATTGAGGGGTAATAGATATTGAGGGGTAATAGATATTGAGGGGTAATAGAGATTGAGGGAAGTACAGGCTGATGTGCAGTAGACATTGAGGGGTAATAGATATTGAGGGGTAATAGATATTGAGGGGTAATATAGATTGAGGGGAGTATAGGCTGATGTGCAGTAGATATTGAGGGGTAATAGACGTTGAGGGGTAATAGAGATTGAGGGGTAATAGAGATTGAGGGGTAATAGAGATTGAGGGGAGTATAGGCAGATGTGCAGTAGACATTGAGGGGTAATAGATATTGAGGGGTAATAGAGATTGAGGGGAGTATAGGCTGTTGTGCAGTATATATTGAGGGGTAATTGACGTTAAGGGGTAATAGAGATTGAGGGGTAATAGAGATTGAGGGGTAATAGAGATTGAGGGGTAATAGAGATTGAGGGGAGTATAGGCAGATGTGCAGTAGACATTGAGGGGTAATAGATATTGAGGGGTAATAGAGATTGAGGGGAGTATAGGCTGATGTGCAGTAGATATTGAGGGGTAATAGACGTTGAGTGGTAATAGAGATTGAGGGGTAATAGAGATTGAGGGGTAATAGAGATTGAGGGGAGTATAGGCTGATGTGCAGTAGATGTTGAGGGTAACAGATATTGAGGGTAACAGATATTGAGGGGTAATAGAGATTGAGGGGGGTATAGGCTGATGTGCAGTAGATGTTGAGGGATAATAGAGATTGAGGGGAGTATAGACTGATGTGCAGTAGATGTTGAGGGGTAATAGATATTGAGGGGTAATAGATATTGAGGGGAGTATAAGCTGATGTGCAGTAGACGTTGAGGGGTAATAGACATTGAGGGGTAATAGATATTGAGGGGAGTATAAGCTGATGTGCAGTAGACGTTGAGGGGTAATAGACATTGAGGGGTAATAGAGATTGAGGGGTAATATATTCTGAGGGGCAATAGACATTGAGGGGTAATAGAGATTGAGGGATATTCAGGATGAAGTGCAGTATACATTGAGGGGTAATAGATATTGAGGGGTAATAGATATTGAGGGGTAATATAGATTGAGGGGAGTATAGGATGATGTGCAGTAGATATTGAGGGGTAATAGACGATGAGGGGTAATAGAGATTGAGGGGTAATAGAGATTAAGGGGTAATAGAGATTGAGGGGAGTATAGGCAGATGTGCAGTAGACATTGAGGGGTAATAGATATTGAGGGGTAATAGAGATGAGGGGAGTACAGGCTGATGTGCAGTAGACAGTGAGGGGTAATAGATATTGAGGGGTAATAGATATTGAGGGGTAATAGAGATTGAGGGGAGTATAGGCTGATGTGCAGTAGATATTGAGGGGTAATAGACGTTGAGGGGTAATAGAGATTGAGGGGTAATAGAGATTGAGGGGTAATAGAGATTGAGGGGAGTATAGGCTGATGTGCAGTAGATGTTGAGGGTAACAGATATTGAGGGGTAATAGATATTGAGGGGTAATAGATATTGAGGGGTAATAGATATTGAGGGGTAATAGATATTGAGGGGTAATAGATATTGAGGGGTAATAGAGATTGAGGGAAATACAAGCTGATGTGCAGTACACGTTGAGGGGCAATAGACATTGAGGGGTAATAGATATTGAGGGGTAATATATATTGAGGGGAGTATAGGCTGATGTGCAGTATATACTGAGGGGCAATAGACGTTGAGGGGTAATAGACATTGAGGGGTAATAGAGATTGAGGGGTAATAGAGATTGAGGGGAGTATAAGCTGATGTGCAGTATACATTGAGGGGCAATAGACATTGAGGGGTAATAGAGATTGAGGGGAGTATAAGCTGGTGTGCAGTATATACTGAGGGGCAATTGACGTTGAGGGGTAATAGACATTGAGGGGTAATAGAGATTGAGGGGTAATAGAGATTGAGGGGTAATAGAGATTGAGGGGAGTATAAGCAGATGTGCAGTATACATTGATGGGCAATAGACATTGAGGGGTAATAGATATTGAGGGGAATATAAGCTGATGTGCAGTATATATTGATGGGCAATAGACGTTGAGTGCTAATAGACATTGAGGGGTAATAGAGATTGAGGGTAATACAGATTGAGGGGAGTATAAGCTGATGGGCAGTAGACATTGAGGGGTAATAGATATTGAGGGGTAATAGATATTGAGGGGAGTACAGGCTGATGTGCAGTAGACATTGAGGGGTAATAGATATTGAGGGGTAATAGATATTGAGGGGTAATAGATATTGAGGGGAGTATAGGCTGATGTGCAGTAGATATTGAGGGGTAATAGACGTTGAGGGGTAATAGAGATTGAGGGGTAATAGAGATTGAGGGGTAATAGAGATTGAGGGGAGTATAGGCTGATGTGCAGTAGATGTTGAGGGTAACAGATATTGAGGGGTAACAGATATTGAGGGGTAATAGATATTGAGGGGTAATAGATATTGAGGGGTAATAGATATTGAGGGGTAATAGATAATGAGGGGTAATAGATATTGAGGGGTAATAGAGATTGAGGGAAGTACAGGCTGATGTGCAGTAGACATTGAGGGGTAATAGATATTGAGGGGTAATAGATATTGAGGGGTAATATAGATTGAGGGGAGTATAGGCTGATGTGCAGTAGATATTGAGGGGTAATAGACGTTGAGGGGTAATAGAGATTGAGGGGTAATAGAGATTAAGGGGTAATAGAGATTGAGGGGAGTATAGGCAGATGTGCAGTAGACATTGAGGGGTAATAGATATTGAGGGGTAATAGAGATTGAGGGGAGTATAGGCTGTTGTGCAGTAGATATTGAGGGGTAATAGACGTTAAGGGGTAATAGAGATTGAGGGGTAATAGAGATTGAGGGGTAATATAGATTGAGGGGTAATAGAGATTGAGGGGAGTATAGGCAGATGTGCAGTAGACATTGAGGGGTAATAGATATTGAGGGGTAATAGAGATTGAGGGGAGTATAGGCTGATGTGCAGTAGATATTGAGGGGTAATAGACGTTGAGGGGTAATAGATATTGAGGGGTAATAAAGATTGAGGGGCAACAAAGATTCAGGGGAGTATAGGCTGATGTGCACTAAATGTTGAGGCTAACCCATATTGAGGGTAACACATCTTGACGGGTAACCCCCATTGAGGGGCGTATAGGCTGATGTGCAGTACATGTTGAACGATCCTACACATTGAGGGCAGTATCCACTGATGTGCAGTAGACGTTGAGGGGTAATACATATTGAGGGGTACTCCATATTGAGGGGAGTATCAGCTGATGTGC